AGATTGCAGACACTGTCAGACAGTTTAAACTCATCTGTTTTCCTTTAAAAATAAATAACTTCCTTCTCCTGTCCCAGATGTTTAAGCTTTATATGTAGATGGCATTCTTCTCCACCTGATGTGCAATTTGGCCTTCCTATAACAAAAGGCTCTACAGCCCACCACAGAAGACCCCATTCTTGCGAAAATTCTCCCCCTTCCTCTTAGCCAGAAAGCAGAATGGTGCTGTTTCCTTCCCATTTTTCCCTCTCACACTACATAGGACCACACAGCAGGCATTTCAACCAACTTACCCCTATGACCAGCTAACAAGCAACCAGTTTATTTTCGGGCTGAAGCCACTTCTTTGAACCAGGACTGCTAGCGCTTCTCAAACTTTATCAGGGATACTCCAAGTGATATTTTTTTCCCTTCCTTTTATTTCTAGGGAAAAAAAAAAAAAAAAAAAAGACATCCTCTCCTTGATGTTTTTTTTCCTTCTATGAATGAACAAGAGAAGGGCAGTGTATATACCAAGCATTACTAATGAGCATGTTATGCTTCCCACAGCTTTGTCCAGGGCAATACATTTTCCTTTAGCATAAGAAAGCTATTGTCCCAAGAGAGTCGCAATAAGAGGCTCCATTGATTAAAAAAATAAATAAAACAACAGCAGAACAGCCAGTAGAGAAGTTGCTCTCATTAAAATAAGGAGCTCCATATAGGCTAACAAGCACTCTAGCATACTAACCACCCAGGAAAACAAAAGGCAGCCTAATTCACAGGGAGCACTCAAAACACGAACAAAGCAAAATATTCACGCAGCAGCTATCACAAGAATGCTCAGCATCTGCAGTTTTGAGGCATGCCTAACAAAAACTAGTCAAAAAAAGAGGAAAAAAGAAAAGGGATTGAGGAAAATTGTGGCACTTGATCTTTAAGAGCCTGCCCTTCTAAAGTAAGTTATTTTGTAAGCCCATATAACAAAGGGCTCTCTAGAAAGTCAAAGAGATTCATTTATCAGGGCATCTGAATAACACTTAATAGTAACAATTACCCATTTTCAGAGCTCAAACAGTCCACCTCTGAGACTGCAGGGAATAAAGATTAATGTACCCTTATCACTTACAGGGAGAGCAAGTAGGATGAGAAGACCCAGAAGTCTGCCACCTTCAAGTAGTCAGCCTGCAAGGGTTCAGAATGTGCTGTGGTGAGGGGAATACTGCAGTACTGTGTGGAGTCATAACCAAATCTGACAACTTCTAAAACCAGTTGGGTTTCCTACATCAAAAAGCTCTACATAATGAATGAATCAAGTATTTGATATTGAATTCAGGCATCTCCAGCTAGAACAGTATTGGTTTCTGTACATACCAGTTTTATCAACTCGCCTTCATTCAACAGGCATTTGGTGCTCAGGGATCACAGCTTAAAAGAAAATACCACAGAATGAAAATGCACTGTATCATATCATGTCCCATGCATAGCCTCAGGCCATACCAGCCAGCTGATGTCCTCAAGGTCCTTAGGAGGAGTCTCTACCTGCTTCACTCCTCAAAACAGGGGAAGCACCAGGAACTTGCAAGCGCTTCCCAATCAGCGGGACAACCAGCCTAGCTCCAAGCTCAGTAAACACAGAATTCTCCCACCCCTCAGTGAACATCTCACTTCTGTGAGCACTCCTGTTGCCAACAGGCTCCACGGGATGGGAGGAGAGTAGAAACACTGCCCAGTCCTAGTGGTACGTTACATCTAGAACAATGCAACAACACTGACTTACTGCGAGACAGGAGGTCAGCCCCAAATGATATAGTGGGGAAGGCAAGGAACTGCCTTTGTCTGGCTGACTGCCAAACGTCCAATAAAGGACTAGAGCTATGGATCAGCATTAGGAAAGACAGAAAAATGTATCTATCTACTGACATGTGGCATAGTGACAGGCATTTCTGAGGAAAAGGGGCACAGACAACCTGGACATGAACTTACACATGACAGCCTTGCAAGACCATAGTCTGCCTCTACTCTCCAAAGGAATGCCCACCACTTTGCCCTCAGGCAAGCTGAGAAACAGCAAAGTCAGCGAATACTAAAGCACTTTATACAAATACTTCAGGTTGCTAAACACATGCTCTTAGATGCTACACAAGATAGCCTGCTTAGTATCAGTTGTATCAGTTTTTACAGACCATTCACTGTGGCCCAACCAGCAAGACATGCTACATTAATTACACTCTGTAGCACAAGATGAACTGAGTCCAAGTCCCATTTTACTTGGCTGCACGGTTTACAAAGAAATAAACAAAAAATCCACAATTCACAAATGCCTAAAACATAGATGAAGCAGCCACTGACTTTGCTTAAATGGAACCTGAAGGGATTCACAGACTGATTAAAAGGCCTTGAATGCACAGACCCATTAAAAAAAACTTAGGCAGAAACACTTTTACATCTTCACCCTATATTTAAGATATATAATGCATCATCTTCTATTCCATCAACACCCAAAGGCAGTCACAACAGACTTACCCAGAGTAGCTGCAAACTGTAGATTAGCTTTGACAGTACCTACTGAAACCCACAGTTTCAAACATTCTGAAATGAAAGAAGCTGTCAAGTCAGTATCTGTTGAAACCTACTACAGGATAGCCAAGATTTTTTTTGGTACACATATCCTAACATGCAGAAGAAAAGAGGTAGGTACAAGAGACATCCCTGCAGCAGAGTGCTACTCTCTGTCACTAAGCAATTATAGAGCCCTTTTGTTGCATTACTGAGTCAGCAGGAGCTCTCTTTCCTTGGGGAGGCCTCAAAGGCACAAAAGAGAAAGAACCAGACTAGTCAGTCCAAGGTAATGGGCTTTAAGGTGGCAACCATCTACTTACATTAAGGCATGCTGACTGCTCTCCTCCAGGACTGCCTTTCTGTACCTCTCCGTGGCAGCGAGCCCACTCTCCCCTTCCAAAGGGTGGCAAAGGCCCTGATTCACCTGTCAGGGCAGAGAAATCCACTTGAAATCAGGGAGGAGCACTTCATCGCAAGAGCCACCATCTCCACAGCAGACATGCAGACGGCTCCTTTACCACAGGAGCATCCAGTCTGGGGAGAGGCCGGTTAACAGGAGACACACCACCCTGCTACCCCTGCCACTCAGTAATGCTCAAAGACAAACCCTCCTCTCCCTCCCATTTACACCCCACACTTCCTCCCAGCAGAGCAACATTGAGGGGAGCATCACCTGATACTCAGGGAACAAGCTGCTGGCTGGCCATAACCAGGAGGAGTTTGTTTTGACTTAAATATAAAATCCTGCCTTATTGTGAAAGATCCACCTAGTACATTTAGAATTACAAATGCATATGGCCAGCTATACCTTAGAGATTCTAAAGGTACACATGCCCTTTTTCTTCATTCCTTGTTCTTATATTATGGCAAAGATGACACACAGTATCCTTGGAATACAGCCAGCTTTTGGGCAAATGAAGGAGACAGACACTTTTCAGCTTACTAAGTAATATGAAAGAGTATTTTAGCCAAAAGCACTAGGGCAGATTTCCTACAAAAACAACACAGCATCCTCAAACGCTTGTGTGAGGTACAGGAGAGACTGGTTTAAAGGCTGTTATGCAAAAACTCTCCCCTCTCCCTTCCCCAAGGTTAGTTTCACTGCACTTCACTTACAGCACCCATGCCAAAGCTGACTCGGCCAGAGGAGAGCTGCTGCCCCCAGAAGGGTGCCCCATCCCAGTGACAGCCTTAGCCCAACGCCGGGATACGTCCCGTGAGGCGCGCGATGCTCATCCCGTTTCCAGCACTGCCTCTATGGATAGGTGTAACTGACCGAGTGCCACCGCTCAGCCCCTGTGCGCCCGATGCACCGACGCAAGCGTGACCCTGCAGAAGCAGCAGAGCCCCGATCTCCACGAGGGGACAGACCTGCCGCCCCCCAGCCACACCCCTCTGCGGCGAGACCCGCGCACTGCCATGGCACTGCCACTGCCACTGCCACCGCCACCGCTGCCACCACCCTGCTCCGTGACACCGCGCTACCCACCAGGAACAGGACCGGGACCGACAGCTGCCACCACTCCGGACAGTGCAGCAGAGCAGAGCACTCACGCCACTCGCCCCGCGCCGGCCGCTCTGTTCGAAAGGGCCAATCAGCGCCCGCGGGGCGGAGCCAGGCCGTGCCTGCCGCACCTGGCCCTGAGCCGAGGTCCCGCACGCACGCTGCGCCCAAGGCGAGATCTTGGCTTTCACCGCGCTTCCGCTCGCGGTATCCGATTTATGCGGGGTAGTTCGAGGGTCTCCACCGCAACCCGCGCCGGCTCGGTTGAAGGCATTGGGTAGCGGGGCCGCTCCTCCGGCCTCCCGAGAGGCGGTGCAGGGCGCAGGGTCACGGCTCCGCTGGCAGCCGGGGCGCCTCGTCAAACCTTCCCCCTCTCCTGCCGCCGGAGGCCAGGTCGGGCGTCGGTGCCCCGCCCGCTGCGGCGGCGCGGCCTGAGGGCTGGTGGCTCGGTCGCCGCGGCAGATGGTCCTCCCGCCCACCGGCCGGTCCAGCTGGGGTGAAATCACTTGCCTCGGCATGCCCTCTTTGTGTCACCAACCGCCTCTGAAAGCAGCTCTGCTCCTCCGGGTGCGCGGAGGCAGGCTTGGTCACGGCTGGCGGGAGCAGGGTGCTGGCTGCGCGGCAGTCAGGGGAAGCGCCGGCCTGCGGAGGGTCTTGCCCTTTCGGCAGCAGGGCGGAGAGCTGTTCTGCGCCCAACGCCTTACCGTGCGGCTCGCACTGCCGGCAGCGCAGGGACAGCGTTTAGAGGAGAACACGGTCGTATCAGTACCCCGGCATTCTGGGTTTCTGGGAGCTGACCCGGGCACTCGGGGGGCACTCACTCTGACTGCAGCCCCACAGAGCACTCGGACCGCTTACCTGTTTCGGGGATGTTGGTGATGGTATCGTTCAGAGCTGCTGAACACCAACAATCAAAGTCTTAAAGCAAAATAACCCGTGATGCATTTTAACAAAGTTTAGATACTGTATAATTTTTACTTAGAAATAATAATTCAAAAGAAGTTACACGTTTATATCATGAAAAGGTTGTTTGGGGTTTCTTTGTGTGTGTATGAGGCTTTTCTCCATTACATCATTTTTCATCTTACGAAGAAATAACATCTTGCACATCTTACATGAACACAGTTTCACAGTTGAACAGCAAATGACTGGCATTAACCATTTCAGCTGGTTTATTAGGTATGTATCTGGAATATAATGGAGACCAAGCACAAAAACACTGCAATGAAAACATATGAATGGAAACCTGCTATCCCCATTCATCAAAAGGAACTATAACTGCAATCAGCTTAATTGCAGCAGAATTACCAGGGTTCCTCTGAAGAGCTGGTGGACTGTTTCTGATCAGCGAATATAAATACAGAGAAAGTTGTACTTACATGTGAAGATCTGAAAGCTATGCAATATTCTGTGTACAGTGAACAAAATTACTTTCATGAATCCATGGCATGTTTCTGTAAAAATGCAGTAAAGAAAATTTAATGTACTGTGGGATATCGTCCTATGAAAATAAATGCTATGTGGTCCTTTAAAAAGATACTTCTAAAATAAAAGTATGCGTCACTGCACATCCCAGATCTCACAGAGCAGAGGTGTGAATTTGTGATCATTCACTCTCCACGACATCAGCATCTCTGCGTGATGATGGTTAAATGTCCGTAATTCCGTCAGACGGCCCAGGAGGCATGCGAAGTGTTGAGGGTTATCTGGGTGGTGAAGTTTGCAGAATTTCTGTAGTATATCCAGCAATGGTTCTTGAAGCCTTTCCACGGACTCCCTGTCCCTTATGTATTGTCGATCTGGTTATGGTTTTAAAAAGAAGTAATTAGCAAATATCGGCTCTGATACAATGTAAATATTTTCACTGGTAATGAATATAAAAATATCCTAGTATTTACACTGGGTACTGGTGTTCACACAGAATATTTGCATTCATATTAAGGGGGGATAAAAATAGTTAAGATCTTTGTTTGTTTGTTTGTTTTTGTTTGGGGTTTTCATGTAAGCTTCTTACTTCTATCTAGGGAACACTTTTGACTTTGTTGAAAACTGAACAGCTTTTTAACTCGGAAATATTTCTTTGGGATTGAATTGTCATTTCTCAGTGCAGTTCTGCACCTGCGTACAGCCTGTGTTGCACTGCAGCAGCTGAACAGCACAGCATAAGTTCTTGGAGGTGTACAGCTGGGGAATTTGCCAGTAGAGAAGAGTGTCCATACTGGTCATCAGGGAGAATCAAACATCTTCATCCTCTAGTGAATTTTTTTTAGAAATTGTTCTTTTAATTTGCTGATTTGTGTGTGTTCGGGTATTTGGAAAGGGAGGAAAAGAGAATTTTTTTTTTTTTTGCCACTGAAATTTTTGATGAAAAGAAATTTCTTGAGCCACACTGACTGAAAGAGCAATGCAATTGCTTCACCTTCCTGTCTTCCATGAAACCTCAGTGTCTGTCTTTTGTCCTGAAGCATCAGCTTCTCCCATTTCTATGACAGTCAATTTGAGTCATTATACAATTACTCCATGTTTCATAGGCAGAGCTAGTTTTGTGTTGTCAAAGAATTAGTTCTTACAGCAAAGCCTCTAATCAGGGCTGAGACACAATTGTGCTGATGCTTCTGAAAGGGCAGGTTCCATCACTTTATAGCCGAGAGGCCAACTTGCTACTCTTCTGCTCTTGACACTCCACTGTTTGTTCGATAAAGGCTGAAGATCTTTACTGCTATTCTCTATCTAAGTTACAGAGTTTCCCGATTTCCCTCTAAAAATGGTAACATTCCACGGTGGTCTGTAGTGTTGTGTGTGTAATCAACTGGGATTTTCTGAAGTAAAAAGCCTGTCATGTTAAGCAGTGAAGACATACCAGTACTTTTTTTAAGCACAGCATTTAGGCACCTTTTTCCCTTCTATGCAAAACCAGATGGTGTAGGAGGACATCTGGAGCCTGGATTTGTATGTTTGTTTTCTGGTTTAACAACTGAATATACTGAATAAGCATGTATGGTCACTTACTCTATGTAGAATGTAAGTTTTTACAAGTCCCAGGTCATACTCCTCATGCTTTCTTTCCCAAACCACTAATATTTAATTCTGGATGAGAAGTTACCTGGAGACAGGATAACTATGGCTGTAAGCAGTGCATATTCTTCCTGTGTCATCTTCAGCTCTCCAATGCTTTTATAAAAGTTAAACATGGGAGTTATGAATTCAGCTGAGATACCTGTGAGAGGGAAAAAAAAAGTTATACAATTTTGAAATTACTCAAATAATCTGGTTTATTGCCACAGAGTAATTATTTAATCATAGAATCATAGAATCATAGAATAGTTAGGGTTGGAAAGGACCTTAAGATCATCAAGTTCCAACCCCCCTAACATGGGCAGGGACACCTCGCTCTAAACCATATTACCCAAGGCCTCGTCCAGCCTGGCCTTGAACACTGCAAGGGATGGAGCATTCACAACCTCCTTGGGCAACCTATTCCAGTGCCTCACCACCCTAACAGGAAAGAATTTCCTCCTTATATCCAATCTAAACTTCCCCAGTTTAAGTTTTAACCCGTTGCCCCTTGTCCTACCACTACAGTCCCTAATGAAGAGTCCCTCCCCAGCATCCCCATATGCCCCCTTCAGATACTCGAAGGCTGCTATGAGGTCTCCACGCAGCCTTCTCCAGGCTGAACAGTCCAAACTTTCTCAGCCAATCTTCGTATGGGAGGTGCTCCAGTCTCCTGATCATTCTAGTGGCCCTCCTCTGGACTTGTTCCAACAGATCCATGTCCTTTTTATGTTGAGGACACCGGAACTGCGCACAATACTCCAAGTGAGGTCTCACAAGAGCAGAATAAAGGGGCAGGATCACCTCCTTCGACCTGATGGTCACACTCCTTGTGATGCAGCCCAGGATACGGTTGGCTTTCTGGGCTGCAAGTGCACGCTGAAGCCGGCTCATGTTCATTTTCTCATCGACCAACACCCCCAAGTCCTTCTCCGCAGGGCTGCTCTGAATCTCTTCTCTGCCTAGCCTGTAGCTGTGTCTGGGATTGCCCCAACCCAGGTGTAGGACCTTGCACTTGGCATGGTTAATGTTTGAAGCCTTGGCTGTCTTGTGGGAGAAAATTACTGCACAAATGGGCCTGATGTAAGACACTTCGTTACAAAATTGCAAGCACATCCTTGTTTTCCAGTTCAGAGTAGAAACCAGCAAGCACTGGAAATTTCACAGGATTTCAAAGCCTGTCTTTCAAGCAATTCCTTTTCCTCTACAGATTTGTCCATCTAGCTCTTCAGGACAAGCCTCATAGGTGGCTTTCTTGCTGTCTGCTGATATTCTAGCTGTCTTCTGTTTCCAAGATGTAATTTGTGAAACAATCCCCATGCTCTCTATCTGTACATTAGTTGTATGGAAACCTCTCAGGGTGTATGGTTTAATTCTAGCTCAACTCTACTAACTACTGCTACTTTCTTGGGCAGTTGCTTCAGTTGTTTCCATAAAAAGACTTAATTGCATCTTTTATGTAGCCTGAAAATTTACCTAAGTCTAGGATTACTTGTAGTCCAAGATCAACTTGCTTGCAACTGCTACTACTTTAAAGCATAAACTAGTGTGTTATAAAGTACAGAGCCATAAATAAAACCCAGCCCAATTCAAGGATGGGATCATGTGATTCTCTTGCCATCAGTGAAACCCTCTGGGGTTACTGAACTGGGGCATGCCAGTGGGGCTTCCGCTTACTGACTTTGTGATCTAGTCACAATGTTCTTACTTAGGCTTAAATTACAGATGTGCATCATTCTGCTTTTTGGTGTAAAAGAGAAGTAGATCCTGTGACATCAATTACTATTTTTTTTAAATGCTGTGTGAGTCACTTGGAGCAGCCACTAGACCGTTGGTGATGAGTGCTTGCAACTCAGAAGCAGTGGCACCGATGGGGTGTACACATTCAAATCAGTGGTTCTGCAGCAAGAGCCTTTTGGCCTTCCTTGGCTGAAAGGGTCGAAACCTCCTCTGTCCACACAGATGAGGGCCATAGGATTTCTTGTAATTTTACTCTTAATTTTAAGCTGTCCTAGGAGAAGCCGTGATATCTTGGTGTAGAAACCACATGAAATAATGTGGTTTTGAGTGTTGTATAGAACACGAAGCTGAAGTCCCGGATTGGTGAGGTTTGGACTGCCTCCAGTAGGGGAAATTCAAATGAAACTCAACAGGTGGAACTCAAAGTAAGGAAACATAAAGTCACTTGACTTAACTAAGAAACAGTCACATTTTGCTGTGACAGTGAGAACTTACTTCACTCAGTGGAATAGTTATGTGTCCCAACAGTGAAAGTATGGTATTGCGGGGTGTGGTTTATTTTGTGGCTCAGTGATATATTTAACATGTGACATAAGCAACCTGTGTTCACTTCAGATTACAAGCCACAGATCTGGGGTTTATAACAAGTTCAATACTGTTGAGAAACGTCTAAGTCAATTAAGCAGACATAGGTAATGCAGGTCAGCTCATTGTGTGGAAGTTAGTAACACAGCTGGAGCTTTATACAGAGCAAACAATAGCATAGTCATCTAATGTTCTGTGAGGTTTATGTTGTTAGTCATCTGCATGGAGTATTTAAAATGTTAAACACTTGTTATTGCTAACTTTAGGGGAACCGCCTGTCTCTCTCAGGCAGACATAAATGCCCAAGTTCCTTACAATATGACGTACATAAGGAACACATACATGTGATGCACCAAACTCTTAAAGTTCACATGAATCTAGAAACAGGGAAAAAAACAACCATATAGCTGAGCCCTAAAGCAGAGAAAATGATTTTATTTTATTTTTTTTCAGGGAAGTGAATAGCTCAGGAATGACACAAGAAAAGCCCAAGACAAAGTGGATATTTTTAGATGCCTGTGCAAGGTATCATGACACTGGGCATGATCATCTTGGCAGCAGAAAGGAAATGGAAGGAAGTGGTTTGTGACTAAGACTCCCATCATTTGTTTCTCATATTCATAGTTTGATTTTTTTCTCCTTTTTTCTTTTTTTTTGGGGGGGGGGAGTGGGGGTGAGTGTGTGGGAGGCAGATTAGTTTTTAGCTGGATGAATTTATTGTTTTGCTGACTACAAAGCTCTTCAAGTCCTGCTGTCAATATAGCAGATGTGAGATGAAAATAATGGTGGTGAACATGGCATAGAATGACTAATTCAGGTCCTCATTGGTCTGGGCATTGTAGAAGCATGCAGTAAAACAATCCTTCCCCCAGAAAGCTTATAATCAAACATTAAGAAAACAAAGCATGGACGGCTGAAGCAAAAAAAATGAGTACAGATGTGGAAGCAAATTAAATTACAGCAGAGGTGAAAGTAAGTGAAAAAGGATGTTTCAACGATGCAATTGATTTACTGCTCTTACTAAAGAGAATAGAACTTTGAAATCTTTAAACAGAAATATGTCACAGGACAATTATGAATAAAACCATGCAAAATTAGCAAATTTGAGACTAGGATAATGGATTTTTTAAAATTTTATTTTATTTTTACGTGGTTACTGGTTTTGCTCTCATCCCATCTGTGGTGGATTTTCTCTGTTACTTCGTAACCTCGTATGCACGTTACACAAACCACTGTTCCATCACAAGAGGGGGCTGTTTTCTAACGCGATTGAAAACGCTTCAGTTTGGATTTAATGAGCGACACCCAAAAGGAAAAAAGCAGGAAACAGGTGTTTATAGTTCTTGCCTTTTTTTTTTTCCCTCTTATCTACTATACAAAATGTTGTTACTTCAGTTCAGCTTATCAGAAAAAGAATTAAAGGTGATTTGGTGCTTATAAGTGGAAAGGCTAGAGGAGAAATGAGCTCTATGAATTTTCAAACATCATTGTTAAAAATCATACTCCAAAAGTGAAAAGAAAAAATAAAATAGATAAAGTTATATTTCTGGCCTCACTGTGAACAGGAAAGTTAACCTCGTCTAACCCTCTTTATTTAGATCAGACAAGAGCCCTGCAGAGTACTGTGTCAGCTAGGCAGAGGTTCCTGGTCAGTGTTAACTTCCTTCTTCTTTTCAAAAAGGTTTCAAAACTTTCTTTCATGCAGCATTAGAGCAATAAGAACATGCTTTCCCTTCATATTGCAGTGTGCATCATTCTGAATTACACAGATTTCTACCTAACCACCAGCCTAACTCTAACATCTGCAGAAGATAAAGCAATTAATTTGATTTATTTCACTATGTTAATGCATGACTGCCTGTAAACTCCAGCATAGTCAATGGGAAATACTAGCTTTACTGAGTACTTGCAGCATTAGACTGGAGCAGATTTAAACCCATGAGCATTATTCATTCAGCATCACTTCTTGCACAATTTCATTCCTGACCGTAGCTTAAGAGACCTTGCCTTTTTTAGGGTTTTATTCCTGGCATTTCTCACTGAAGGTGACTGTTTCTTTCATAAAGTTTGGAGTTGCAGGCTGTAAATGATTATCTGGTTAATGCAGTCCTGAAATAAATGTTTTTACTGTGATGTTGAGTCAGCATTGCCAGCTTTTGGAGACACCATTTTCTCTTCTATTTTAGCTGTTCAGTAAAACTGAATAGATTAATCTATTGCAAGAAGAATGCTTGATAGTAATTACTAATTAACAGTAACTAGCACTGTGTGATTAATATGAATATAGAGATTTTTTTTCTTGATAAACATGGAGGTGCCAGTGGATATGAAGCCAAGGGTTGTTTTATGAAAATAAAATATATTCATTACTTGCAAAATTACATCTTATCTTTCACAGTGTTTCATCTAACAGAAATGTCTTCTCACCAGCTTATGAGGTCTCCCTGCTAAGCTGTTCAAATGCATCAGTGGCCCTTTGAACACTGACCAAATTCACCCTATTGATGCCGAGAGCCAAAAAGGGGAAAGTTGAGCCAGTAGAAAAGATACACCAGAGCATTTACACTTGACCTCTCCCCTCTGTCATCATCTCGTAGACATTAAATGTCCAACTTAAAGGAGAGGTTAGCATGTGCCGAGAAGAACTCACAATCAGGATAGCAAAACCCCACCTTCTCAAAAGCAATCAGTAGGACCACTGTGAAGCCATCATTGAAAGCAAAGAATCCTCAGTTGAAAAAAGAACAAACAACAAATAAACCAGACCTGCAAGGAGGATGCAAATGGCATTGCCACACACCACTCTTTGGCAGTGGCCTGAGTGGCTACAGTCAGGAGTGAAGTATGGTCTAGCACACAGCAGCAGCACCTGCACTGCCTGGAGCTAGACTTTATAGGTCCGGTCTAACTAAGTTTCTGTCCTGTAGCAGTACACTTACATGGAACAGATTGGATACCCTGACATCTGTTCTTTTTTTCATGGGTATAAATTAACTCTGTAGATATGATTTAAACACTTCTAGTAACTTCATTAGTAATTCAGGAACATGGGACTGGCTAACTCAGTGCAGTAGATTGTACAAGACTGTATGCAAACAGAAAAGCTCCTGTACTCTGCAATTTAAAATGTTCCTAATTTCTAAATGCCTGGGGCAGTGCGCTAATTTTGGGTCAGGTCATAGGATGATGTCTCCTTCCTTGTGGATGCACATGACCATTTGGTGTGCTGGACACTTTGCACTTGGCAGTGAAGATAATTTCATTTTGTTTCTTTGCACACACTTCAGCAAAAGGGTTTTGGAGCACTACTGTTACTCAATACTAATAATCAAATAATAAAAGCCAAAGGCAACAGAAATAATTAGGTATCCACTGTTCTAGTTCCAAAATCTGGTTTTTGTTTGCAGGAGCCTCTTATCCAAATCAGTGTGAACTTTGTATCCCACATTCAAGGGCAGAAGGGGGCCTCTTGCCAGTGCTTTGAAATAGCGGCTATTACTTGTATTCCTTGGATCTCACTGTTCTTCAGCACCTGTAACCCATCCAGGCAGACAAAAGTATGTTTTACAATGGCAGGTGTCCTGCTGCTAACTGAAAATGTGGATACAGATTCTTCTGTTTCTGTTCATATCAGATAGTATCTTATTCCCCAGTACTGAAATTAGTAGAGCTGCTGTATAGAATAAAATGACAAAATAGACATCTGCGTCTCTTCATGACTACTGAAAGCTATATTGTAGGAATACAAGCTATAAATGCTCACTGAGAAAACATCAAAGTGTCTCAGTACTGCTTTTACAAATATTGTACTGCTTGATAATGGGGATAATTTGTTTCCAAAATAACACAAAGAAACTAAGTATTAAATTACTAAGATGTCAGCCTTTCACGGAATGAGTCAGTCACAACATGGTATATGCATAGTGAAGTATCAAGCAAGATGAGTAAGTAGCATAAGCTGTCATTAACATTATATGACATGTATGTATTTCTCATGAAGTCTCAATATTAGGGTGAGTAGAAGAGGAACTCAGTCTCAGGAGCTAATGAAAGCTAATGAAAGAATTGCCATAGCATTTTAAGAAGGAAGACCACCAGAGCACAGAAAAAGGCAGTCCCTGAGATGCACCTGGAGTTGAGCAGTATGCGCAAGCTAAGAAATAAAAATACACCTCATCAGCATGAGAATTAAAATGAATTTTGCTAATGCTCAAAGGTCATCATGACCAGATCTCTGACTTCTTTATCAGAGAAGAAAAGAAAAAAGAAAATCCATTCCAGTCAGACTGGAGAAGGCATAAATATTAATAGGTAAGAGCCGCTTCAAAGTGACATGGTGGCAGGTGACAGAAGGCTGGACAGCTTGTGACTTTTAGGCAGGATGTCATCTCCACTGCCCTCTCTGATCTTATGGATACAGACGTCAAGGCTTGACAATAGGTTTTATGTGACATTCAGAAATATGTCTGCACCTAAAATTATGTGGACAGAAGATCTGACTAATAGCAATAATATATGTCTGATGGCCCAACAGTGTTTAGGACCTCACTAAGAGCTATACATTACTTATAAATATATTTTCTAAACTCTCACTCAACTGTCTGCATTTCCTCTGCTTCTCTCTTTTGTCTTTTCAGGGTGTCTCAGTTTGCTGCATTTAGCCTTTTTTTTTTTTAGTAAAGTGTATTAAAAAAAAAAGTACGTATCCAGATTTATGTGTAATTCTTTTGAGTTTTCTTCTTTGACTTGGGATTAATCTCTTTTGGCCAGTCTTAGCTCTTGGACCAATCTATAACATGGTAATGACCAGCTGCAGCTTTTGGTAGCATTTATCCTTACTGGTTAAGGCTGCAAGAGGCTGCTGAAGTTTCTAACCTAATATCACAATTGGTACAGGTGATTATTCAACTCAGAGCCCTATGACATGCAGAGGTGTGAAGTGTGTATTCAGTATTTTTGAAAGCTGTATGTGTAAGAGAGGATAACAGAATAATTTGGATGCCTTTCTCACATTTTGTTTAAACTCGGGACACCTGAAAATGACCAGGACTTAAACCACAAAAATAATCTGGTTTGGTATTTGTATTTTTTAAACAATTTGAAATTATTTGATTTGCCCTAATGTGTAATTCTGGAATTTACCCTGAACTAAGACAAAATGCACAGAAAAATTGCACCAATGAGGGCTCTTAAAACAAAAAACTCTGGTAGCTTGTGCAATGTTGAACAGGATTCCTATGAAAATTCACTGAGAAATACACTGGGGAATCATGAGAGAGTCAAACCTAGTAAAAGTCCTTCCTTTTATAAAATAATCTGCTTGCATTTTTGGTGCAAAAGAAGTCATACCAGTAACAGGCAGTTACCAGTACTGAAAACACAGGCAGAGGGGTGTTTAAAAAGCACATTTTAGCCCTTTCATGCAAGGGATATTGCCAGGTTGACTGAAACACTCTAGCAGGCAGCAATGTCAGTCCAAAATGAGAGACTGAACATGTTGAGTGGCTTCTGGGTCTGTGCAGTAGCACTAACAGCTAAATAGCATCATCAGCAGCAATTAAATTAACACTGTCACAGAGATTTACAAACTGCGTTTGTTGTTTACTGTCACAGCCCTATGAAGTAAAGCCAAGGAAAGGGTGTTTTAAGTAGGCTTGAATTTGCACAGAGTGGAAAAAATGAAATACATGGGAAAGGATATTTTGTCCTCTCTTCTGGATATTAATGAAAAGAAAGAATGCAGCCAGAAGCAAAGAAGCTGGATAATACATTATCCTCCTGTAATACAGGGTGGGAGAAATTATAGCAACAGTATTTCTTTTTATGTTTCTAACTTGACCCTGTCTTGAGGGAAGATGTTTTAAAGAGCCTTTTCCAACAGCAATAAGACATATATTTGTATACATGCACACTTAAAAAAGTGACTGTGTTTCATTTCTTGGGCAATATTCAACCCAGGTTTTCTTCTGATCTCGAACTCATGTTTAATTTACCTTGGAGAGTTTTTTTCCCCACAGGAAAAAAAAAAAGAAAAGAAAAAGGAACTGCAGGAAATCTTCCTTTGGAATAAATGGTACCATATTTAAAATTGTTTCTTGTCTTAAAATTTCTATACAAAATCTGTTGCATGACAGGTAAATAATATTACTGTATGATACAGTGTCATATTCCAGATAGTCATGTTATTATATGAAATGCTATATTTAAGTCTAGTAAAAACTTGCAAAAAATAATAATATGTCTCATCTGGACTCAACAGTTACAGAGAATTAACAGGCTATTTTAAAATTCTGACTAAGAAGAAAATTATTGGTATGACATAGTGGATTTTGTAATGTTCTGGATCAAAGTAGTTCCTGCTTCTATTTTTTATGAACAGTTGAAACCTTGAACAAGAAGAGTGATACTCACTCTATAGATTAGAGAAGCTTTCAGTAATTATGTATTCATATGGATTAATTTCTCTAAGACCTATTTTTATCAAAAATTTAGCTTATAATCCAAAAGAAAATCTCTTAATGAAGACATTTGGATCCATGCCAACCCATTACAGTTTTCAGGAAATACTTATGGCCTTCCTAGCATTCTTCTCTGCCTGCAAAATCTGGACCAGAAGCCGTTCATATCACTCTGGAAGTCACCATTTCCAATACATCAAGCAATAGCCTCTTATAATAAATAAAAATGAAATAAATATTAAAAGAAAAAGATAAACTTAGAAATTAGTGTGTTAAGCCAAACCAAATGCATACCTTCAGGAAGAGCATTATTTTCAAGATTTCTTTTCAGGTTTCAAATATAAAAGTATTGGCCTAATTTTGCATATATCAATAATATCTTCATATTACTGATTTTAAGAGTTTCAGAAATGAGTTTAAGCCCATTTCTATGACTAGTATTGAGGTTTAATGTTCTTGTGTCTCTTCTCCTTCTGACCATTAAAGAAGGAAGGCCATAATCTATAGACAGACTCTGATTCAGAATTGTTGCTACACCTGAAGTTTGAATGATAGATGGCTGTGGGTTGGATAAAGTTTTCAGGTCAATACATAAAGAAGGAAAAACATTCAGTATTGCATCAGTGGAGGACAAAGAGTACGTAACAATGCAAAACACCACTTAGCTTGCTTTAAGGAGCAAACCATATCCAGCCCTGTTTGGCTTTTCTTAGTTGTAAAGATTTATGTCCAGAACCAGAATTTATCATAGCTACTGAGCCTTTGATGCACCTTAAGATGTAGAAAACATACTGAGAACATGTCACATTAATAATCCTTCAATGCACTTCGTGCTGTGATTCAGTTCTACCAAAATGACCCTAATAATAGGTGGCTCTCTTCAATCATCTTCAGCAACACCCTAAAATCTTTTTTTTCTTTCCTTCTTATAACGATTACCTTTGAAAGCATAAATACTGATATTTTATGTGGCTAATTTAAAATTATGGTATTTCTTCTTCATTGTTCTTCCATGCTTATCATTGGAGAGTTTCAACAGGTTTGATACAGTGTTATTTGTAATACTTGTATTTATAAATAAACCTTTATGACCTTTAGCCTCAAGGCTGAGTTAGATTTGTTCTAGTTAATATAAAGAACACCATTCAGATAAACCTGTTTCAGTGCTAATAAACAATTTTACTAGCTTTCTAAGGGCAAAATACTGACTCAGAAGTGCAATGGTGTGGCTTGTTTTTCCCTTGTTAAACAAGATACTTACCACTGTTGCGAATTCTTTCTTCTAAAAGGACAGTATGTCCTGTAGGAAGTTTCCTGCTGAAGATCTCAGCTGAACGGAGGAACATAGCTTCTACTGCTGAGCCCTTCAGCAAAGCAATCTGATCTTCATGATCAAGGGTTTGGAAGCCTGGGGAGATGTTGCAAATAAGAAAGGCAGCAACAGAAAAGTCCCTCTTCTTTCCTATCCTGAAGTTCTTGCACATGAGGTGCTACACATCTGTACAACCTCAGTGTTGATATCAGTGGGATTGCCAAATAGTTGGGAAATTGACACCCAGATTACAGAAAATGACACGGATTTGGATGTCAACAAAGTTTATGAGAATTAGAGTTGTGTTTCAGTGTCCATAGTACTTTGAGTGGAACCTGACAAGTGAAATCTAGTGATGCAGCATAACCAATATGGGAATTTTGTCTAGCCTGATGCTGCTCCCTAATATCTGCCATCTTTCCACCAGAGCTTTCTATATGACTTCACACTGCTGTGCTGCTTCAGTTCTTTCCATGCCCTAATGGCAAAAGCATTTGAAGCATCTAATTTTAAATATTTCACCTTGCCTTTGGACTAATATACTGTGTTACATAGAGGCTTCCTGCTGTGTTTTCAATATGTATTTCCTTTTTTTGGAGGGAAGAGACTCTAAAACCCACTGAAGAAATCAGAACAAATTTGGCGACTTGTGTGAATACACAGCTGCTCCTCAGAAGAATGGCAAACTAAAAATCATCAGAAACTTTCTTCATACTTGCCAGTGCAGGTGCCCACTTTTATACCCACCCCTTGATTCTATGAGGAAGCACAGAAGATAATGTTGATAATGAAACAAATAAAGTGATAAATCTTGCAAGATATATCCTAAGTCAACACTGAAAATAATAGATTATTAAATTACAAAGCTCCTCCTTTCTTCATTTCCCGCAAGTGAGTATCCCAGTTAGTATAAAAAATATAGTTACAACTTCAGTGCTAGGCTTTGAAGCAAGTCTGTAACACACAGAGGAATGGTCCATATTATGGGAGTGCAAGGAAAATAATGTTTTCACACAGCCAAGCATTGCAATGCACCTTCCTTAATAAAAAGAAACCTGTACCATGCCCAGCATTACTTCTTGGGGTAACATGAACTTGGGAGTTAAAAAAAATACTAATGATAAACTCAGGTGTTCCTGAGTGCTTGTCCATAACATACCAGGCAAGGACCATAAACACTGGTGCCACCAACCAGGGAAAGGTCTTGTCTAGGCCTCACAATTCAGTGGATATCATGACCTAGAGACTTTGCTAGAAAGGCAGCAAAGGGAGTGAAGCAGTCTGGCAAGCGTTAGTGGCAATTTAGAGGCAGAACATTCGGCATTGCAGTGATATATAAAAATAAAGTCTCTCTAGAGACACAACCTTTTCTCTAAGAATTTTGTTTGTCAATAGGTAAAGAGTGCTACATCTCAGGGTGGCAGAGTCTTATTCAACATATCATTCCTCTGATCACAAGGTTCTTTTTCTTTAGACAATGTCTGAAGAATTCATATGTTAGAGGAGGAGGAATTTTTATATAGTCTTCAAAATATACACAACAAGCACCAAATGGCACCAATGTCAACTTTGCAACAACAAAATTTGCCCCAACACACTGGATATACCTGGTAGTTTTTTAGTGAATTCCACAAGAACCTGCACATGACTGGTAGCCATTTCTGTTAAAATCAGAAAATTCCCTTCAGCACTGAATTCCTCCTGTAACTGATCAAACCAAACAAAATCTGTTAATATTCATTGTCACTTCACATTGAAGAGTATAAAATACAAGAATTATAGACTGGATAAGGAAAGAGGTCCACCTAACAATGTAATTTGCCTCCAGTACTTTTCAAAACCATGTATTTTTTAGAAGGCAACATAAGAAGTAAAAGAAGAAGACAGCATCCTTTCCTCTGGAATGTCTTGTCTCACTTTCAGTGTTATGTCTAACAGTCAATGATTTAGGCACATCCTGAGCTAGAAGTTCTGTGGGTGCCATAATATATATATTTTTAGTATATTTTTTGTTTTGACCTCCTTCACCTCTCATGGAAATAAGTTTTTGATAAGTTTCTTAGTTATGGGTAATTCAACCCTCCCCCTGTAAGTGTCTTCCTTTTAGTTTTCAAAGCAAATGACTGAGCAAATAGTTTTTTTACGGTTGTTTGGGGTTTGTTGTGGATTTGCTTGTTGTTTTTTAAGTTTAAACATGACAGTTATGTAAAAAACTCCACCTCTTTTAAGCCCTATTTTTCCTTTCCTCCCTGCTTCCCAACCTTTTTTCCATTCTACCATGAAAACTGGGAGATTTTAAAAGGAAAATGAAATTTCTAAAAGGTAGAGAGGAAAATGAAAGAAGAAGGGATGAAACAAAAGTGTTGCAAATTTGGGTTAAAAAAATAATTTAAAAAAATGTATATTTTCAATCTTCCAGGCTAGTGTCCTTATGGAAAGGAAGTTTGGCTGCAAGTCAAACTCAAACCGCTGCCTATACTAACAATGTAAAAATTGAAACTCCAATCAGCAAAAGTTAGATTTGAGGATGAAAATGTATTTCCAGAGTTGAAAGCTTTTTCTTCGCATTTAAGTTTGATAAACAAACATGTGGTCTGTTGATGGAATGAGAGAGATTCTGTCCCACTTGCAGCATGTCTTAAGAGTAAGCTTTTACCAATAATTTGCTCTACTACTTAATACAACTATTTATGCTAGGTACACATATTTGCTGCTGTGTAATCCTCAGCTTCATTATCCACATCTCAAAAATCAATTAACCAACATACTTACTAGTTTTTTTGACACCTCCTGTGGTATTTGTTGCTTACTGTATGAATCCATGATGTAATCAAGAAGGTTCTGCTGTTCTGGGGTAAATTCTACTTTCTCCTACACTGGCAAAAAAAAAAAAAAAATCCCATCATGAAATGCAGTCATAGAAATGATCTGGCATCTCCTGCTTTAGGGAAAAGCTATACATCTATTTCTCACACTTGGAGACCAAGCAGACAAGAGGTTTGCTTTTCGCTGAGATTTCTATAGAAGTATGCAGAAGAGAGGTGTATAATGCTTCTAAACTGAATGAGTTTATATTGCTTATTACTAGAAATAAGGAAACAAATAGCAAATAACTAGGTATGCTCAAACTTCACACCTCACCATATGTGATATATACTTGACAAAAAGTACTTCATGGATTTTATTAGTGTTTTACTGTGTTTTGACTAAAAATATCAAAACTACTTCCGTACTCGAGGTATTGCCTTGATTTGTCAGGAGACGGAGTTTTAATTAATACAGACAGCTCCAGAGAGTTTGCAAGTATTCTATATTCACTGCACTAGCCACATTTAGCTCAAACATCACCACTAATGTACAAACTATTACAAGAATTTTCTTACCCTATACATTTTAGTTGTAGATGTCACTTGTTTCATGTCAGGGCCTTCATTATCTTCATTAACTGTCTGACCTGGAGGCTGTTTCACATTTTTCCGTAGTCTTTTCGACTTGCATTGTATTTCTGTTAGTAGACCTATAACACATAACACAGCAGATAGCAGTTTGATCTGTATATGCCCCAGGCACTGAATAGGTACATAAACATGCCTATGGATGCCCTTTACATTAAGAAAGCCATTTGCCTGTGCAGATAATCTCCTGAACCTGTCATTATCTTTTGGTGTGAGTCCAATGAGATACTAAATACACACTAATGAGCAGTCTAGTTAAGCAGGAGACCATTTTCAGAGCAAATTGGTTGGTCCTGGTTACCAAGCATCCACACAGTGTGTATGTCAGGGGTCCTGTTTTGGACCAGCTCTAATCTGATTTTACAGGTAGAAAACCCATTAGCCATGGGAGTACACTGGAGCGTGTCTTTGGTTTAGTTTCATTCAAAAGAAAAGCCCTTCATGTGCTCCAAGACTTGAACCAAAGAGCAATAAATGGGAACATCTGGAAGAGTGTCGTCAGAAGTATGCTCCTCATCTGATTCAAAACAGTAATCAAGGTGTAGCTGTTCTTACAGAAAGGACACTGGATGGTTTTAGTAATCATTAAGCAGTATTATGGCTGTGGAACAGAAGCTTTGCACAGAAAGCCCACTCAGAAGAGAGGACGCGAGGGCTTTAGCCATTACAGTGTCACTATACAGATAAACCAACAGCTTAAAATGTAGGCTCATAAGTAATGCAGGCTGGAAAAGGTACCTTTAAAATGTATTTACTTAAAATTTTACCCATTTGCTCTAGCTATTTTGCATTTCATTGTATCAGAAGACTGAATAAAGCCCTGGTTTTACTATAGATTTTCACTTGCCCCAAGGAAGGTTTTGCATTTGTGTTTGGCAGGGGTTTTGTTTGGTTTTGTTTTGCTTTTTGCTCTAGACTACATTTCAGTACCTTGAAACAGGGAGCATCCTTGTGTGGATATCATAAAACCTAGTAATTTGCCTGTGCTAACAAAAGATAGGGACAATAGGTACCCTGCACAACCTGTGGAAGACAGCCAGAAAGAACAAATGAAAAAGTAAACAGCTAAGTATTCATCTAAAAATAAACCTATCAGCACAGGTCTTTTTTTCTTTCTTTTGAGCTTCTTTCAAGTATCCTTCCCATTCTTCACCTTTGAAAATGCAGAGTAGGAATAGAGGCTCATTCAGTGAGTATGTGATGGTGGAGGAAGATACCATGAAACAGTGATTTTTTTTTGTGTGAATGTTTTTAATTTCCTGTTCAAGCACTATATAAAATAACCTACCTGAACCACTGAGAGAAGAGGAAATTTACATGATTAAAATAAGACCTGCAAATAATACCTTGAAAGGGGGAATAGGAATGATGGAGATAATAACTGGTACCGAGCCATGTAATTTGTGCTGCCGCACAGCATCATAGATTTCTTTTTCTAAATTATTCAGTGCATCTTTTGGCAGTGTTAATGGCCTTGTACTGTTTCTCACCAGCTTATGATCGGGTCTATTACCTTTCTAGGGAAAATCTGGTTCACATTTGCCTTAAGCTGTAAGTCAGATTTTCCTCATGTTTTCTGTTACTGAGTATTACCTTGGCATCTTTTTCTGGCTCCATTTAAATTAGCTGGAATACTTGTGTGAAAGACAGGACTTTAGTTTTTACCTCAGAGATAGCTAGGTTTCAATGGGTATTAAATGGGTATTACCTTCCAGGAAGAGTGGCAGAACCTAGGTAGACATTTCACCCAAGAAACTTGCAGTTTATACCAAAATGACAGGAAATGGCTGAAATTGATGGTTAACAATTCTGATCTGTCTGTAGTCTGTGTAAAAGGTGAGAGTAGGATTGCTGAGTAGCCATGCCATAAATATTTATAAGACTTTACCTCCTTGGTCAGAGGGAAAAAAGAATCCACAGAGCTTGCAATTACAATCCTACAAAATGAGTAAGTGAAACAAAGTTCAAGGTAACCTTTTATTTCCTACTCTTCTCCAAATAAATGCTCCATACTACAAGAAGCTTCGTGTTTTACTGTCATGGATTGCCTTGAACTAAAAGCGACTTTACAGCACACTCCTCCTTCAAAGCCATTAAATAGTACTTTGCTAAACATCCTCATTGCCGTGCGTTAGAGCACTTATGGTTAAGTCATGAGCGACACAGGATACCCAGTGTTTCCATTGCAGAAGGAGAGTCAGATGGCAGTGCCACTCACTGGCTTTTATTTCACATATGCCAGTTTGTGAAAGTGATAGGCCAGTTTAAAAGTTTCATGTGTGCCCAGTCAGTATTGTTTACTCTGACCTATATTTTTCAGTGGTGGGTTGGTTTCTTTGTCTGGTGAGTCACTCAGACTATTTTGAATGCTCCAAATTTTGGAACAATGGATCTGGGATCAGCACCACAGGGGAGTTATTTTCCTCTGATACTTAGGGACATATTGAGTGCTGTCACCACAGTGGTGGTGTCTGCTCATATATTTACATATTGTACGAGAATATATCATGTCTCAGGATCTTTGTAGCCTGTTCAATTTGCAGAATGAAAGATTAATTACATTATGCTGCCAATGCATTCCAAATATTGATGGAGCTTATTGTTTCTCACAAAACCAACAGTTAATATAGCATCTTCTGATCAGAATGAGGGATAGAAGTATATTAAAAATTCCAAGTAGATTAATTTCCTGCGTGAACCTAAATTGGTTTCACACATATGTGTGTGCTAAAATGATTTGACCCATCAAGAAAAATAAGTTGTATCCCTGTTCATGGAAGGCAGAAGAGCAGATGTTTACAGACTGTTTTCAGGAACAAGCTTGCAAAAAATAATGGATTGGCCAACATTCTACTCAAAAATTAGTTTTAAATGTGTTTAAAATTGCACTCCAATGTTTGTGATGTTCTAAGTGTGAAGCTCAATGAAGTTTATAAGCTGTTAGTCTCAATACAATAGTCACTAATATGAAACATTATTTAAGTCCCTCAGCTTCATTTCTGGAGACAGTTTTACCTATGCATCTATATGCAATCCAGGAAAATCTGTAGTGCCACGAGCAGAGCTAATGAGACTATAAAAGAGGGCTAGCCCTTAGCAGGCTTTGCCTGATTGCTGGGTGAGGTCTGGGAACATACACTTACCCAGACCAGAGAAACTTCCTGCTAGCAGCACTCCTCCTCTTTTCTTGAATATGACATTGTTTGAATGCCAAAATTTGGACTTGGCTAGAAAGAACTTTACAGGGAAAGCACCAAAAAGAGTAGCACAGGGAAGCACCAGGATTTTCGTTCTCTGGCTTCTACAGCACTGTAAACTTCAAGCTCCTGGGGAGTCTCCCATAGACTCACTTCTCCTGCCTGCTTTTTGTTCTTACTCAAGCAGACTAATGGCTGTTATCTAGTGCAGGATAGCCCTTCCTTCAATATTTTCTCAGCTCTTACACCCTTGTGTCCCTGTCCATCAACTAAATCCCATTGCTTATAAATGCATATGACTTTTTCAAGAGGTTTTGATGCACATGGCATCATCTTTAATGTGCCTTGCACCTGCCAGATGACATATTGTATAGCTTTGTTATTAAAACCAGCTTAATTAAACAAATAGGCACAGTCTGGCTATGTGATGCAAATACCTGTATACATACATTCAGCCAACATGCCCATTTGCTTGCATTTCCTTAGACGGCACTCCTGGCATTTTCTCCTCATGTACATGTCCATCTCGCAGTTGCCTCCATTTTTACACTTGTATACCGCATTTTTTGTGATGCTTCTTCTGAAGAACCCTGTATAAGACAGCAGCAACAAAGATAAAACACTGAAAGAAGCAAAAGTAATCAAATTGAAAATCACCTCCATTTCCACTGAGTTTTCTGAATGGCACACATTGTGCTGTACCATGAGTTTTTTTCAGTGCCTGAATGACTATATTTGTATTTACATCATCATCAAAGTAATATGATTTAATAAATCAACATCATACACCACAGGCCCAAACATTAGCCATTAGCCCAAAGTAAGGTTCTGGAACCATGAATGTTGGAAAAATTCCAACCCAAATCTGAAACCTGCCAGGAGCAGGGTGAGCACCAGCACTAGAGCTGTAGGGTGATGCCACACAAACAGCAAGTAAAAAATTCCAAGTCTCTTGAGGTACAGGATGCACAGAGTTGAGTAACTCTTCACTATTCATTCCCTCAGCTCCTGGGAGCTGCAGAATGGGAGCTGCAGAAGCTCCACATACTATACTGGTCTGCTTACCCACCCCCAGGTTTAATAAGGAAGCTGCGTCATATCTGCCTGTTGTACATATGGCCTCCTCCCCGGTTTACAAGATACTACAGCCTCATTGACTAAATACTGTCCACTTGATGAGTTAAACAGTCACCTAATTTCACCTGCACAGGCAGCTCTACTGGCATTGTCACTAGATTCACTCCAAACTTGCACAGAGGTAACTGCAAACAGCAACCAATACTAGAAATTCAGAGGACCTTTCCTCAGCCTGTCCAAATTGCATATTTGCTATTGCTGAGCACACCTCTGATAGTGGCACTGTGGGCAAAATGTGGAGTGCTAAAGGTATTAAATGCAATTGAACAAAAGAGTCAACACAAACAGAGTCTTTGCTGACAGCGATGACTTGAATTTTTAGTATGAATCACTGTGCCTTTTTACATTGTCTTTCATATGGCAGAGACAATTTAGCATCACATACAGAGAGAATCAGTTCTCCTCCCTATCTGAGGGCAGGTTTCTGAAATAGACTGTTGAGAGCTTCAGCTGGCACATCACAAGCTTTTGCTTTCTTATAGCCACTGGCTGTTACAATGCCACCATCATTTTCCAGCCTGGCACTTTGAAGCAATAAGAGAGGCACCAGACAAGATCCAGTCCCTCATACTGAAATCACAGAGCAAATTCAGATTTGAATCTGAATTTTTGTTCACTGCAGGATTTGTCTGTTTTCAGAATGTGTTCAGCTAAAATACTATCCTGCTGAATCTACCAAGATAAGAGATGACATTATGATTTTGCCATTGTCAGGTGAAACTTTCCCGACTTTGTCTTATGATTTTATAGTTGTATAATCCCGTCCAAGCACCAATGTGTAGCTACCAGTAAAACCATGCAACTATCTAGTCACAAAAAAATCTGTCATTTCTCTAACTCTAATTCCTGCTTGAAATCTTTTCGATGCTCTCAGTTTTATTGGCTGCTTTTCAGATAAATACAGTTGACTGGCATCGGTCTCTTTTGAAATGCAGATTGCTTAGAACCTCCAGCAGCCCCAGGCATTATTTTTATTCATCATTCATGTGTTGTTTAATACATTTACTGGTCAGGGAAGATAGACAAAGGCCTGGATTTAAGCTGTAGGCTTTCAGTGTCAGTTAAAGGTAAATGCATCAACTTCACATCATTTATGAATTTTATTTGTTAAATTTAAATCCTGTAATTTAATGCTCATTAATTAATAGTAAATGTTGAAATGCTCTGTACAAATATTTATATCTTCTAAGTCTGATTGGTGACTTTATCAGTCACCCTCCCCAGAAGGTGTGCATTTGCTTTTACATGGAGGAGCAAAGAAAAAAGCTTTAGTAAATGAATTTTTTAAAGTATGTAACAAGGTGAAAGAAGTATGCAAAAATATGGGTGCAAAAGCTAGGAATCAACAGATTTAAGCAGGCAAATATTTTCTCTTGAAAACAAATTTTCTGAAAAAGTGAAATAAGTGAAATGAAAACTGAAATAGTTTTTTTTTTGGCAAAAAGTGGTTTTAACCCTACTCTTGCTTCGATTTTATCATAAAATGACTCTTGAAGCATTGTGTTCCTGAACAGAGTTCTTCATAATTAATTTTGAAATTAGCTTTTTGTTATGAATGGAATTTCTATATGTATTATTCCTTAATAATTCAAAATGAACTTAAACTGCCTAAAAATATTGTATGTGTAACCTTTTATACCAGGAGGAGTTTTACAGAAATTCAGAGGTAAATTATATATGGCATCTGTTAGAGTAATGAAGGGGTAACCCCCAAACCTAAAAGTTTTTCTGACACAGTCTTTTATATGACCTTGCCAGATTACAGAAAGCTCATGTTGGCTGGAAATGTTGAATTTGCTTTGTTCTCTTGGCTACTCTTGAGTATGATTAATTATGGCTACAGCTGCTCTGATGTTACTGATTATTACTGTTAATCAAGGCAGCATTTTCTAAAGTGATATATTAGAGGTGAGAGAAGTCTCAAGGAAGCATTTTCTTTTTCTATATAGTACCATGGGCAAATGCTGTTTGAGAGAAAATGTTCTGTTTAATCTGCCTTTGCATAATATATAAAATACTAATGAAATAGTTCATACTTACTTTTTGATGGATGGTAATGTATTAAAAGAATAAGTGTATACTCCTGCCCATATCTTTACATTAATATTCTCACGAGGGATGGGAAATAATATGTAATTTTGTTCCTTCTGCCCAAGAAAGACAAAAAGAGTGGAGGGTGTTGCTGAATGCATTACCCAAAAAAGAAATGAAAAAAAACCCAACATATTCATCACAGAGGGTTGAATCACATAAAAAATATGTGCAAAGCCTCCCCCTTTGAATAAGAGTGTCCTTGACATCAGTGAAGCTGGGGTGCTGCAAGGTGAGCCCTAGTCCTGCAGAAAGGGATCTGCATATTACTCAGTATACATATTGAGCACTAATTAACAGTCTTGTTGCCAAAAAGAAGGGCTAATCTCATACTTGGATGTGAGACATGTGAGGTAGCTCTTCTACTGCACTGATAAGAGCACAACTGAAGTACCCAAGTCCACTTCTGGCCACTGTGCTTTGAGGATAATATATATAAAAACCACCACAGATACACAAGATCAGGGATCTAGAAAACATAGTATCCCCTTCACCTTTTTGAACAGAATTACTATCCTCAGCACATCTTTTCCCTGAATCAGCTGGTGCTTTAATCACCTCCAAAGTTTATTGTAGAAACAGAATGCATTATCTTTAAATAATTCAACTTTTACTATGTTTGATCAAGGGTACTATTCTCTGTAATTGATGTTGCAGTCATGAAACAGAGTGAAAACATAAAATAGATTGTCCCAATAAAGCAGTAAAATTGTGGTTACATAGAGTGATTCAAACTGAATCAGCAGCAAGATGAACACGTATTTCCTTTCACCATGGGTTTTAGTCTGGGTATTTACATGGTGGCTTTAACCGCTCTCCTAGAAACATTCTTTAGAAATTCCATAGTTTGCAATTATAAGTCTTTGAAAAATTACTGACGTTTAATCATTAAATTAATAAAGGCTAACTAACAAATGTATAATTTCTTGGAATCTTCACATGAAAATTGAGTTTAATCTGGTTTATAATGACAGCATTCATATGAGTTAATTCATATTTTTTAATTTGGACTATGCAAACAGACAGCAGAAAGAAACAAATCTCATTTATTGGAATAACTGAGATAAACTATATGACCCTTGACTGTGTTCATGTTTAGAGTGGTTGACTAGTTTGATCTGTTGTGCCCTCAGAAATGAATTTGTAATAGGTAAACCCCCCGAATTAGTTCAAAGTCCACTCTCAGTCACAGGGAGTTCCACGTGAAATATTTCAGTGCTTCACTAATCTCCATGCTTTACCCCTAGAACAGAAATGATAATGAAATATTTATTCACAGAACAGAATGAAAAACTAGGGCATTTTCATTCTATGAGGTACCCCATCTCTGTCACAGAGTAACCATCTTTAGGTGTAATAGTTATTCCATTAGCATACCTTTTGTCTCTCTCTGCTAAAACAGCTGGCAATCCTGTTTCCAATAATGGCAATGATTTCCTATATCCCATTTATCCTGACACCAACTTGTAAAAACTGTTCTTCTGAGAAGCAAGATATTTATCCTACAGATAGCGTCTGCTTCCTGAAGAAGCTCTCTTACTAGGAATAAGGGCTGTCTCTAGTAGAAAGTCCAGAATTAGAAATCCTTTCATTTCACAAACCTGAAGACACCCACTATATCTTTTGGGAGCTGGGGAATAAAGATTCTCTGGGAACATCTTACAGGTGGGAGCTGACAGCTTCCACTCCCTTTCACTTTCCTTTTCACTTCCTGTCTGCACACTACAGGAGGCATTTGGGCTGGGTTTGCGGCTGATTTGAAGGGCAGCCTCATGCTAAACTCCCAGAGGGCTCCACAGGTTTGGTTCCTTCCACAGGCAGAGATCAGCATGAACAGCCTCCAGGGCAGCAGAGCCAGGCTGCCAGGCTTCCACATGGAAGCTGTTCTTCAGTTTAACCAGAGCTAATGGTGACTCAAGAGCTGTAGGTTGGCCAAGTGTGCTCTATAATCACAAGGATAACGGTGGATGATGGTGCCAATCTATCCTGGAGAAAATACAGAATAGTCTACACCAGATCTAAATGTAAATGTCTAAAATGCTTAGACTCTGATAAAATTAAAAAGAAAAACAGAAGCCTAGAAACTGCTCTGTTTATTAGCTGAATTGCATTCTGTAATTGATTTCATCCTACCTTTGCATCCTTCACAAGTAAGAGCATTGTAGTGGTACCCAGAGGCTTTGTCACCGCAGACCACACAGAGCTCTTCTCCTTTCACTCTTCCTGTGGAGTGACCCAGCCTAGGCTTTTTGGCTGCAGGGATATCCATTATCTCTGTCTCCCTTGTGAAAAAGGTCTCTGAGGGTATTCTCCTGAGCTCATACATCCCAGGAGAATACCATTCCTCATGCTGTGGAGGGTAGAACCCTAGGTTGGAGTAATAAGGCGGCGATGAGATCTGAGGCTGAACTTGGGGAAATGGCACACTGTTGTACTGTGTGTAAGGTGACACATCTGTCTCTTGCACTGGAGAACTCATTGGCTCTGAAAGGACACCTGCAAAATAACAGTGCAAAACCAATTTCTATTACAACCATGAAACTGCAGTTATCTGAGAAATTTCAGCTTCCAGACATCCATCTCAGAAACCAGGCACAACCATAAAGATTGCATTATCTGAGCTTAGATTTCCTGTGGTCCTGGTCCTACGCAAATGCATTGCAAAATATTTTTAAATTAGCTTAGCCATCCCCAGCCACCCCTTTATTACTGGTAGAAATGTACGATGATGGCACTTACACTAAAAGAACATCTTGAAAGATACCATGCAGCTAATTATACAAATGTTCACTTCACAAGAAAGAGCAATCCACACCACAGAGAAGCTAGAAACCCAAATTAGGTTTTGCAGCAGAATGAAAGACATCCAAACAAAAGCCAAAACTTTATGATAGCAGTGGAAGTTAGATCAAGACGCAAACATCATAATAGTTTTATTTAATTCTGAATGAATACACCATGACAGAGGAAAGATGGAGTAAAGAAAGACAACAAGAATTAGGCTTATTTGGAAGACTAAGAATATAAAAGAAACCTTCAAGAAGCGCTTGAAAGTGGAAAGTGAAGGACCAGGGAATATATTCCTAATACAAATGGTGAAATATCACCACCTCATCATCCAGCCTCCAGTGGCCACGCAGCCAGCCTCTGCAGCCTGGTCCTTAGCCGCTAAAGGCCTGTGCCACTCAATGAAGGTGTGTGTTTTTCATATGAAGCACCTCTATAAGCCAGTACTATTCACCACCTAGACGACAACAAATCTGGCAATGGTACAAGGTACAGCAACCTTTCCTGTTGGGATTGACACAGTACCTTAATTTTGCCTACTAAATATCGGGTTTAAAAGTACAAATAAGTATTGGGGTGTTTTTTTTGTACTACAAGTACAACCACATCTAGCAGTTCCTGGATGGTGTAATTAAAATTAAGCCCATGTGAAGTAGCTGAAGAGTTATTTAAAAGTTATTTGCAAACTACTTCATATTTTCTGTTTGAAAAAGCCACGACTTTCTGTTTCATGAAAACACTGACACACTTCCTTCATTAGTTCCAAGAAGAGAACAGAAGAAAAATAGTACATATTTCCAGGAAGATGCTGACTCCCACTTATATTGGAGTCAACAGCAGTATTTACAAGGAAATCATAGACTAATGTTCACTTGTGACCATTAACAGTGCTTCAGAAACACTCCAAAAACATTTTTGCTGACATAAAATGGGTTCCCTGGCAAGTCTCCTTCCCTTCTGAGGAACCAGAAACAATGAAGAAATGCTAACAGTTAAGAAGAGGGAACATCTGTAATGACAATAATAAATAAAATCTATAGTGGGGAACTCTTCACTCTCTTTTAGCTCATTAAATTAGCGGTAGAAGGGAACCTTTTCATTTCACCTACATTTCCCGCTTTCAAGGTCTTATGCTTTTGTTCTGCAGCCTTCTCCCTTCCTACTTCGCTGTGCTGCAGAAGCCATACAAGTGCTTTGGATTTGTGTGACTGCTGTGTTTTCCACAGCACATTTTTGCCAGTAACAAATGTTGAAGTTCCAGTTCCAGAATAAGCAGCAAGATCTAGGTCTGGAAAAACGTGACATAAAACCAAATGAGAATAATTGTGCCATTTATTGTTAATAATTAGTTTAATTATGGTCACATTTAGTTGCTGCAGAAGAGGCCAGGGCCCCAAATACTACTCTAACAGAAGCAGGATAGCAGAATGCACTACCCAAACCCAAATTTATGCCCTTTAAATAAGCAGCATAAACATACAGAGGCCTGAGTCAAAATACACAGGCATCTGGGGATTCTATGGAAGAACCTGGAGGGGAAGTTGCAGCTTCATGCATCAAATGAAAACATAAATCAATGCCTGACAGCTGCAGCAATAGCAAAACATGTAAAGGGTGAGGACAGCAATGATTTGATGCTGACCATTATTGATTGGTATAGGTTTAATAATCAGGTGGACTTCTTCAGTTGTATTTACTGTTTCTTGAGACTGCTGCTCATTAAGACAGGTTAAGGTACTTCAGGTGCAGGAACTGGAGCTAACTGTTAAATACATAATCATTATACAAATCATTCAGTCTCTTTTTAAAGGAATCTGCTTACCATGGAGACCTAAGTAGCCGTTTTGCTAGTTAGTAATTACTTAGTTGGTTGAGTTTGCTAAAGAAAAGTGGGACAATCCCAAAATGAAAGGAAGGAAACTGTTATTTTTAACTTCATGCCATCCACAGGAAATTCCACAAAAGCTCTATACAAGTTTCTGAACTGCTTGGGCCTCTGAAAGAGCAAGAAGAGAAGGCAACGACTCCTTCCACAGCAAAAGAATCATCTCAGGGTTTGTTAAAAAACTCAGGACTGCTAAAGAGCTGCAGCACATCCTGGGTGTTGATTTAATCTACTGTGGAGCCACTGGGGCTACTGATATTTTAGAAAAATCTTCTCAGCCATTAATCATCTGTCTGTTTCTGGAGGAAAGAAAACATCTGAGTCTTAATGCATGAAGTTAGATATGGGGAAGGAAAAAACAACCAACCTTCTTTTTCTTTCTGTGTCAGGCACATAGTTAAATAATTCATCTGAATTAAGTCCATGCTTGGAGCAGTGGAAAGGAAAAGGAACAGGCAGGGTCAAGAGAAACTGAAAACATGGTCTTGTGTTATGTAAAACAGGTTTACAGGTAAAAATGTGGGAAGTGCTCAGATGCTAGGGCTTGGTAGGTATCTGTATTTCATCCTTAGAAATCAGTCAACTTGTGCTGACTCAGTGAGGCACATTGCTCTACAAAGAGCAGATCAAACACAGTTTTCAATATTTTTTATTTTCTTTTTCCACAAAATTGTCAATGAGTCTAGAATTAAACACTGGTCTGCTCCAAAGCATTAGTGATCTAAATTACTAAAAATAATTGTTCAAAACTGAGGATCTGTTCCATAAAGTTTATTTTAAAACTAAACTGCTCCAGGTGTTTTAGTTGCAATGTCCTTTTGCTCTGAAATATTCTCTTAAAAAATTGAAACATATGATGAGGTGGAAAGAGAAACTAAATGTTCTGAAATTGCTGGGACAAAGTATTTCTATGACCTGATCCAACAAAGTGTGGTCTGAGCTCTGCTACTCATCCCTCTGCGTTCACAAGGCTTCCAATTAAAGCTGAAAGTGTTCTGCTTTCAGGGGCACAGTGTGCACATTTCTGCCCTGCATGACAGTTTAAAACCACATTGATTTGTGAAATTATGCTTTGCAAAGTACATGTGAGTCTAGACCAAATAATTTCTTATCTCAAAAGAAAACTAATCTTATCTTGCCGACCGGAATGTACATGTGCTTTTACCCAGATGCATAGTAGAAATCTGAGACGGGCTGGTTTCACACCACTATAATGCATGAGCCAGCTCAATGAAATCACAGGAGTTGCAGCAGTATAAGGAATGAAAGTGAAATCAGAAATAAGCTCACTGGAACACAGAAATATTTTATGTTTGTGTGGTCTTAACTCTTTTGAAACATCTGGGTTTCTCTTTTTTTTGAAGTATACTTTTATATTTTTAATGAAAGACAACTTAAGCACACATAGATGTGATGTTACTTACAGCTGTAGCTCTGTAAGATTATGTTTTGTAAATAAATGTTTTTCAATGAAAAGCATTTTACAGAAATCTGGGAAGCTTCCTAATATCAAAATGGAACCTTCATATGGATATGGTGATCATTTTACAAATATTTTGTCCACAATAGCACTTTCAACTGAAACTCAGAATTCTGCTTTTGTTGCTTTAAATTCTACACAGAATATTTTATGCAAGACTTGAAAAAGTATTTGACATAGACTTAACCACTTGTGGAGATTAAAGCTAATTTTCTTTGTAAGAACTAAAGGAAGCATTTTCAGTTTGTGAAATTATACTGAGGTTAAGTGCAGATTGAAGGTGCTTTTATTCACACTATTACAGCAATTGCAATGAAATCACATATTAATGTAAAATATATTGTTCCACTAATATAAAGAAAATTGAAAAGGAAAAAAATTGAATCAAGTTTAAAATATAAACCTCTGGCTCCCTGTAGGTTATTAATAACGGAACCTAAAGAAATAAACACAAGATTCAGGATTAAGTAATTTGGAAAGTATAGCATAACCATTTATGAAATCCTGGTTTAATTCCAATCAGATTATTCACAGACTTTTAAAGATCACTTGGTTTAGACAAGCTTCTAGCATCCCATTTCAAGGAATAATGCAAGAGTAGATGGCAAACATGTCCAAGAGAGAACATACCAATATCCTACCTTAGGCTGTCTTCAGTCTGATCATTTCTTGAAGAAAAGTACTCTCCTTAAGGCACCCACTCCTTCTTTCCCTCTTTTTTTTCTCCCCAGCCCCCAAAACTACATATAAATAGACCTTCTTAAGTCCAATTTGTCTGTATTCTGTTGACTCCTTTACAGTGAGAACTTTCTTTAAGATTAGTGAAGGAGTGACACAGGCCAGAGGTTATATAGTTTACTGATTAACTTCATTACAGAGAAACTTGTTTGGGTATGTCTGAAACAACACATATGCCTGTTCCCAGTGTGGATTTAACTGGATAAAATTTGATTGATTCCTATTCAAGAGGATGCCTCCAAGTAGCCCAGCCATTATAATTTTTTACCTATTGTGGTTTATTTACAACAAAATCTTTATCAGCAAATATTTAGTAATGCCATGTGATTCTGTGCAATAGATAACTACTTCAATATCACAAGAAGCATGTTTTAGCTAACTGGATTAGCAGTTGTGTTTAAGCACAGAAATGTATTCTCAGAAAAAGACCGAAGTTCTCAGGCTATACTAGACAGATCTGTATAACAAGACAAAAGAGTGCCAGAGGTTTGTCCTTGCCCCAAGGCCAAATGTCACAGATCGATTCTCATCTATGTAGATTAGAGGTAATTCTTAACTCTAGAATGGGCAAGATACATCTGCACTATGTAATCTTTGTTGCTGACC